ATTGTGGGATTTCTGGATCCAAACTGATAGACACCTTGAACATAACACACCAGACGTAATGTATATCACACAAGTGAGTACACCCCTAAGTGACAATGTCCAAATTGGGCACAAAGTGTCAATCTTTTGTCGCCACCATTATTTTCCAGCACTGCCTTGAACCTCTTGGGCATAGAGTTCACCAGAGCTTCACATGTTGCCACTGGAGTCCTCTTCCACTCCTCCATGATGACATCACAGAGCTGGTGGATGTTAGAGACCTTGCGCACCTCCACCTTCCATTTCAGGATGCCCCACAGATGCTCAATAGGGTTTAGGTCTGGAGACATGCTTCACCTTTACCCTCAGCTTTTTTAGCAAGGCAGTGGTCATTTTGGAGGTGTGTTTGGGGTCGTTCTCATATTGGAATACTGCCCTGCGGCCTAGTCTCCAAAAGGAGGGGATCATGCTCTGCTTCAGTATGACACAGTACATGTTATCATTCATGGTTCCCTGAATAACTGTAGCTCCCCAGTGCTAGGAGCACTCATGCAGCCCCAGACCATGACACTCCCACCACCATGCTTGACTGTAGGCATGACACACTTGTCTTTGTATTCCTCACCTGGTTGCCGCCACACATGCTTGACACTATCTGACCCAAACAAGTTTATCTTGGTCTCATTGGACCACAGGACATGATTCTAGAAATCCATGTCCTTAGTCTGCTTGTTTGCAGCAAACTGTATGCAGGCTTTCTTGTGCATCATCTTTAGAAGAGGCTTCCTTCTGGGACGACAGCCCTGGAGACCAATTTGATGCAGTGTGTGGTGTATTGTCTGAGCACTGACAGGCTGACCACCCATCCCTTCAACCTCGGCAGCAATGCTGGCAGCACTCATCCATCTATTTCCCAAAGCCAACCTCTGGATATGACACTGAGCACGGGCACTCAGCTTCTTTGGTTGGCCATAGCGAGACCTGTTCTGAGTGAAATCTGTCCTGTTAAACTGCTATATGGCCTTGGCCACCATGCTGCAACTCAGTTTCAGGGTTTTGGTAGTCTTCTTATAGTCTACACCATCTATATGTAGAGCAACAATTTGTTTTTTCAGATCCTCAGATAGTTCATGACGTGATGTGCCATGTGGAACTTCCAATGACCAATCTGAGAGAGAGAGAGAGCAATCACACCTGCTCCCCTGAGACTTGTGACACTAACAGGTCTCATGACACCAGGGACGGAAAATGGCTACTTAGGCTCAATTTGGACATTGTCACTTAGGGGTGTACTCACTTTTATGTACCCACAGATGCCAGGAGAGGAGTCGCCCAAGCCGCTGCTGGTTGCCATACTGCCTCAGTAAGTCTGGGACCTACCTTTCACAGGTCACTTCCTGGAGACGAACAGCAGCACAATTGGGTTTTTTTTTTTTTTTTGGGGGGGGAAATCTATGTATAATGAAAACTGTGCTGTTCAAACCTGTGCAATTCAAAGGAGAAGTGTACATAAAAACAGTTAGTCATAGAACCATCAGAAGGGAAGCAGCCCCAGACTTAATCCTACATGGTGCTATTCCCCAGAAATTAGTGTGACATTTAAGTATAGTTGAATCAGTTGGAAACAATGACCACAATGCTACCAAATTAAATGCACTATATATGTAAGTGTAAAACTGATCTGGATGGTAAACAGTCAGTTGGGAAAAAAAATCAAGAAAATCAAAGCTCTCAGAACAATTTGGATGTAAACTTAAAACTGTAGCAACAGAAGTTCATATTGAATGTATAGGCCAGGTGAGGTCAGAAAGGGTGCTGCCAAATCCATGACATCAGCAGTGTAGTCCTGGAAATCATTTGAGGACAAAAAGGCCACCTTCAAAAAAACGGAAGTAAAATGCAAACAAGGTGAAGAAACAAACAAACAAAAACCACACAATTTGGCACAGAAACTTTCTGTCACCACACGAACTGTGGAACTCCCTCCTTCAAGAGATTAAGACAGTTTCCTTCACTGTTTAGTTTCTAGATTGCCATTCCAATGTATTTGGTTTTGCATATTAAAAAGAAGAAAAACAGCAATGGCCACCATAATCTATAGCAGCGAGATTCTTAACAATTGAAATATTTTAAACATATTCTGTGTCATAAAAGGGGCCACTAGGGGGAAGGGAAAATTAGTTCTTTCTTTGAAACATTATGTTGCAGAAAAATCATTTCTTCAAGCAATGGAAAATATGTGGAAACCTACAAATTTAGAGAAATTAAGTGGAACCAAGACCATCATCATGCCTACAGTATAGCTTTGGTAGAGCAGGACAGACTTCTAGGGTGACTGTAAAACCTTAACTACAAGGCTATGTCACTTAATTCCAATATCTTTGCGGGTTTTCCAGCTCCATCAGGCTATCTCTGTTGTTGTGATCAATAAAATGCAAAGAATCTAAGCTATCTTGCCCAGAGCATGTGTTATTGAGTACTGCAGGAACTCTTTAGCTTGATCTATTTATTTCGAATACATTTATTCATATCTTTATATTTATAGGACAATGCATAATTCTACAAGCAAATAATTCATTTGGACAAAACTCTCCCATAGTGGCTCACACAGTAGCTATGGCATAAGGAGTATGGTTTCATTATCAGTTGCCCTGTATAATACTATACAGTACTAGGCGCTTAATACAGAAACCATGTTCCCTCAAACCAAACATGTCATAAAGAACAAGGCCAAAGTAAAATATAATTGAAAGAGACACAGACAGCCATGCCACATCATCTCAACATACCACATGTGCCACTAAAACTTTTAATAACCAAGACAATAGTGTACAAAAATATCAGGAAGTATTTGTTTCTGGTGTGTCTAAGAGTACATGGAAGAAGCCTCAGGGAGGTCTGTGACAGCTATGCCTTGCTGTCACTAAGACACCATTTTTATGTTTTATTCTTTTCCTTCTCTATTGTCACCAACATTCTCTCCAATCTGAAGTGCTTCTATATCAGACATTAACTCTTTAAAGCTGAAAATTACCCATAAGTTTCCAATATTTTTTAGAATGGTAAAATATCCTTAAGTCTTCCTTCTAACTAGATCTTTTGTTTTTTTTCTTTAATACGTTAACTCAATTTCTTTTTTTAAAAAAATCCTCTTTTGAAATTATATATGAATATGTTGACCTTTCCAGTCAGCTTTTCATTCATTTGTTGTTTTGACCGGGTTCAGAAGATTTATATTATATCCTCAGTTTCATTTTGGATTAAATCAGAAACGCCTTTTGTTTATTCTGTTTTGTTTATTCTCCATTGTCAGGGCCTCAATGGATTGCTACTTCAGTGACGATGAGCTAACCCCACTCAAACCTAACAGAGAGGCGGTACTGCCAGATCCTGAACCCTCTGGGGCTCAGAAGGCTATCTTTCCCAGAATAAGACACCTCAGTGTCCCAGTCAGAGAAAGAGGTTGGACTGATGCTCAGCCCACCAGACATCCCATCAACTGGATGTGATAACAGACTGATCTCTGTCTTCATCAAACCTGATGAAACAAATAGGGGCAAAATCCTAAACCTGACCTTCTACTACTTGTGGCAAAAAACTGCCTCATAAGAAACACACAACTAAAACTACTTTTGGGGCTGTTGACAAACTGTAAATCATTAAAAGAAGTAAACAAAAATAGCCAACAATAACAAAGCAGGAAAAAGCCTTTTGAATACCAGTAATCAACAAAAATCCCTACTTCTGGTCAATGGTAGCTCATTTCTACTTCATCACAAGGATTAGTGTTTGCAGTGATAGCAGAATATGAATGTATAAGAAAAAAGTCCATAAAGCAATTAATTAGTAAACACAAACATGTTGCCATTTATAAAGCATTTGACTTCTAAAACATAACTGAATAAATTCTGATATGAATATTACCAAGGGGACTGGAAATTGGGCCAAAGGATTATAAATGACAAAATTCATAAACAGCAAGTAAGACATTTAGAAATTCAGTGAGAGGAAAAAACTGGAGAAGTGGCATTTCTTAAGCAGATGTAGGGGTGACTGCAGATGGCATGTTAGAGAAGGTCAACTGCCTCTGAGGCAGCAAGCAAGAGATTTGATTTGTGAGTGAATACAAAGAAGAATCACATGAGGAGGGAGAGACAACCTCCATGATTTAAAAAAAAAAACACCAAAAAGCACACACCAAAGTACAGTGCAACACAAGTTTTTAGCAACTACTTCTATGGATGGGATATAACCACACAATTGTTATATTGTCATTTACTTCTCAGCCAGAACATGGAGAAAGAATAGACTCGCTCTGATTCCTATCTGCTTTCGCAGGTTTCTGAATAAGGGGAAAACATGCTGCCTGTCTTTTCCTAAGACCCAACTGGATGGTGTAGTGAAGTAATCTTCAAGTCTTGAGGGTGGGGAAGGTAACCAATACTCTGTTGTTGGGAAACTTTTTTACAGATTGGTGCCTGAAATTCAGTAGTAAGTTACAACTAGAGTAAGCCTGCTGAATCAGTGAGGATCTGGTGAGTCAATTTTCTTACTAAACTCCACTGATTCAATGGGTCTTCTTTATTTGCAACTTACTACTGGATTCCAGCCTTATCTTGTAACAACAGTACTATTCCTGAAGATACAGAGAGGATATAGTTATAAGTACAATTTTTTAAAACTTACTGAAATATATGGTCACTAACAATGACTTAAGCATAGTTGCTATAATAAAGACACTTAATATAATCAGGATATAATGTAATCCAAGAAATAATCAAGTCAAACATGTAGACAAAAGACACTGATTAAAGCCATGTTTGAAACTTAAGTTCAATTGTCTGAAGAACTTAAAATATTTATCACATTTTCTCTCTTTTTGTCTTGAAAACTATAAAAAAAACTTTAAGCAAAAATTGGTATCTGAACTATTTGGTCATGTTGCTGGAATTAGAGAGACTGTTATAGGACCCACCAGGTTTATTATGGTAGTCCCCAGAGAGAGAAATTAATAGATCTACCTTAATTTCATTTTCTCATGCATCCTTCCATGTTGGATACATTGGGCCTCCAATTCATCATTCCTTTTCCTCATCTTCTCAAGCCTGTCATGGACATATTCATTTTCCTGGCTAAACTTGCCAATTTCAGACCTAGAGAATTAATAACATGGATGTTGGATGTTGTCAGATCATATCCTAAAGTGTGCAATCATCTTAACAAAATTCCAGTGCAGATCTGCATAAGAAGCATCTTATTTCAAAATCAGCATATCATATGGTTTCTATTATATTTCAATAGCTAGGGACATAAATATATGGAACAATTTCTTTGACCCTTGCCATGATGAAGAGGGCTACTATGCATAGAAAGAATATGATTTTACACCTTCTTTTGCTGGAGAAGCAAAAGAAGCAGATATGATAAAGCTTCCTGAGAAAGCTACCAAACTGTTACCACCAGCACCTTGAATGTGAATTAAGTGCCGCAGAACTCTGAACTTTCACCTTAGTAAATGACAATATCTAACTGGATAGCAGACTTTACTAAAAATTCCACAGTACAAACAGATTTTACATTCCTGTTTCAAAAAAATCATAATGACTATCAAGTCAGCTTTACATTGGATGAATCAATCAGTAGGACTTTGGTGAGTCAACTCCTTTGTAAGTTCCATTGATTCAAATGGGCCTACTACAGTTGTGACTTACTTTAGTGCAGTAAGTCAAATGTAGAGTAAGCCCATTTGAATCAATGGAACTTATGGATGAGTTGATTAACCAAATTTCCAGTGATTCAGTGGGCCTGCTCTAGTGTAACTTACTATGTTGAGCAAGAGGATTCAGTCATTGTTTCTTCTGATGCTGAAGATTGATAACACTGCTGAAGACTGATAATAAAAGAACAATAATCTGTTCAATTGTAGAAACACTGTCTTGAATAAAGACTGTTTCCAGATCAAGGGTTTTGCTGCTCTACTGCCAAGATTGTTTGTGTTTTAGGCACAGTGACAGAAGCAGCATTACTAGAGTACTACTGTTATTAATAAAACATCTGAAAGCCACTGTACATTTTGATCAGGCATAGCCAATAGATGCACTATTACGTAAACCATATTCAACATTTAGGATATGCACAAAGGTGGCTTTTAGCCAGCTTTGTTTCCTCAGTCAGAGTAGACAGGGTACAAAATCCAACCTAGTGTTTTCCTCATTAGAGCTGTTTTTCAATTTTCAGATAACTGGTCATTTTAGACTATTATAATTAAATGTGAGGTAGTTTGTATTAATTTTAATTTAGATCAGGGCATTTGGTAAAGAGGCTGAATATCACAGTAACAGTTTGGTTTTCCGTACAAGTTCTGTTTTGCATTCTGATCCTTTAGCTTGAGCAAATATTTCAGTTCCAGTGTTTGAGTGTAATGACTGCAGTTGTCCAATACAGCATCAATGGAACATGCAGAAAAACAGTTCAACCGGGTGCATATTCTTTACTTCAATTAAACTCACACAGTTGGAAGCCTACTGTTGCCAAAATGGTAATATAATTTATCCATTCTACTGAAACAGTAAAACTACACTAAAAGTCATTTAACAATATTTATAACAACATAAAATACTGTGTTAAAATATATGGACTGCAATATGAACCAAAATTATAAAATTTGTTTCTCATCATCAGTGATTAAAAACAGGATCATTTCTCTAGCTTCAATACATTCAGCCCTGGTGACAGATTAGAATTCAAATCTTAATGATCAATTTACAATTAACAAGATAGAAGTGAAACAAATTAAACCAACCATTATATATAATGAGACCCAATGGACTCCCATTGTTCCTCTTAATTACAAAACAGAAATCGCAAATACACAATGGACACTGTCAAGCATCAATCCACAAGCCTTGAACTCTGAGACAATCCAAAAAAGGGCAAACAATATTAGAGCACAGAACACTAAAGGACTGCATTTTTATATTTGCATGGGTACACAATGTCAGGTGTGCAGCTTGAGGGGAGGACATTAAGCACTTCCAAGATCCGCCTATATATGTAAGAAAATTTTTGCTCATGGCAATTTTTACTATTACAGATTCCACAACTAATTATGTCTGAGGACTAGCAATATTAATACATAATTTAAAGAAGCATCCAAACATAGTAAACCAATCTTGCAATCCACTGCATTTCATAAATAGTTACAAATGTTTGATATACATATACAGTAATTTTTAGAGCAGCCTCATCAAGCAACTTTCAAGCTGAAGGTCGTAGTAGAGCTACATGCATTGTTTAACTGAAAGGGATGAAATTTTATCTGAAACGAATATTTGAATAATTTTATTTCTAGTGACTGAAATATTTTTACTATGCAACATGGAATTTCATGGATTCAGAGTTTAATCTTAGAATCCCAGGTTTCCAAGTACCAATATTTATGCAACCAAAGAGGGAGATATCAGCAAGTCTGAGGTACCTCAAAATTTTCAGGACTAGAATGCCTTAAAAATCTTTGGATGAATTCCAAACATGTTTTTATACAAAAGCAGCCCTAGTGGACCTAGTCCTCAGTGGGGACTGAGAATGGTTAGTGAATGTAGAATAACAATTGGCTACTGGTGGTGAGAAGAAAAAGGGAACTGAGCCTCCTGCAAGATGACAACAATATGTGAAAATGCACAAAACATCCCATTTGTTTATTCTGATTAACAAATGCAATGTAAAAATGGGTACTAACTGTAGCAGTAGGTTGAAATCACATCACTGCGAAAGAAATTGCACTCTGTATGTTTGGAACTTAATTGGGTACAGGCACAAGATTCAATAAACACTTTCTGGCAGCCTAGTAAATGGGGATCTACTCTGTTACATGTACCTAACTTTGAAATGTACCACTCTTTAACACATGATTTATATGTGTAATGAGAAAAGCACTCATCTATATATGCAGTCCATGTGGCCACTATCATTTTTAATGCAATGACCGCATGTACCAGGCCAAACATCTCTTGCTGTACCAGTGATAAGCAAATGAATGAATGTTAGAAGGTTGATAAAAGGTTCCCCTTGACAATTTTATCCAGTCATGTCCGACTCTAGGCGGCAGTGCTCATCTCCGTTTCCAACCCATAAAGCTAGCATTCGCCCGCAGACAATCCTCCATGGTCATGTGACCAGCGTGACTAGACACAGAACGCCATTTACCTTCCCACCAAGATGGTACCTATTTATCTACTCACATTTTTTGCATTTTGCATGCTTTCAAACCGCTAGGTTGGCGGGAGCTGGGACAAGGAACGGGGGCTCTCTCCGTCACATAGATTCGATCTTACGACTGCAGGTCTTCTGACCTTGCAGCACAGAGGCTTCTGTGGTTTAACCCGCAGCGCCACCATATCCCTTAGAAGATTGATACTAACTACTTAAAGGGTAAGCATGTAATAAGAAATCTGGTGGTTGTAGTGGTATTAAAATATATTAGAGCTTTCCTCAGAATCACAGTGTAAATAGAAGCAGCTATTTCTAGCTGTAGAGAAATGGAAGCGGTAAATTGCATGTCAGTTATTGTGTATGTAGTTGGGCAAAATGAGGAGGCACTTTGTTTTCTTCACATTTTATACTGGCTTATTGAAGACTAAGAGTGGGAAAGAACAGATTATCTGTAACTGTGGTTTTTTTTATTCATCATTTGTAAATTCACAACACATGGGTTGTTTTTCTGTCCGTATGAAACTCCTCAGAACATTCCAGAGCCTAAAGAAAACCATTAGACCTGCTCCCCATAGTAAACATGTTCTCACACTTAAAGGTCAGCCCTCAGTTCCTCCTTTTTTTCTTTTGTGGCCTCTGTTGTTGTTTATTGCATCTTGGTCCTAACCCCAAGAGTGGTCTTGGGGTTAGGACCTCCAGTGTTGGTTCTGTTTGGTTGATGAAGATTTGGAGTTAGATATTTGATGTTGACTACAGATTGGAAAGGTAGATCATAATGAAGATGAGGGAAGGCCAAACTTTTATGAATAGCCAGTATTGAGGCTCTCAATGTTCATTTCTCTTCTTGACCATGGCTCAGCATCAAGGTGCACCTAGATGTTTTCTTTTGACTTCTCTGGTGTTTCATAGTTAAGACAGGGAATTTCAAAGCTGACCAGGACCTTTCTGGCCAAAGTTACTTCAATATCATGTATCAGTTTCTTGGTGGCATCAGTGACTTCGACACTGGATGTCTGCACTCATGTATCATTAACTTCAACACTGAATGTGTTTGTGTCTGTTCTGGCTATCTTGACTCAGTATGCCTATGCCTCTGCTTTAGAGATTTTACTGCTGAGTCTTTATGGCTCTCTTATGAGTAAGCATGCTGCACTGGCATCAGGGAGAATATAGGCAGACCACAGAGAAAGCCTGAGTGCTTCTCTCTCTGCACCCCTGGATAATTAAAGAAGGATTATGGGAAATGCATTTCTGGCCCCAAACAAAAGTGAAGTATGGCATTAAAATAGTATGGTAGTGGGTACATTGCCTCCAGTATCACCTCTTTGGGATAGCATTTCTTACAAAACCTCTTCTGATGTTAAGACCTCTTCTTTCTCAACAGAGATACTGACTCCAAAGAAGATAACTGTGAGTAGTCCTAGCTTCAAGCTGAGTCATCAGGATGCAGAAAGTGTGGTTTTCCTGTAAGAGAGAAGGCTTACTGTGTGAAAGTCTGCTGCATTCTGAGGAGTGTCTGAAGGACAGAGACAAGGTGCGGATTTGAGAACTTCGTCCTCAGATGCAGAACCAAACTACACTAAATCCTCCTTCTCTTTGCTCTTTGGTGAACGCAGCTGAGTGGAGATTGGGTGGCTGTTTTTTAGATTTCTTAGTTCTTTGTTTAGGTTCAGGCTTCTTAGCTGTAGTAGTCTCTAAGCCAATTGGTTTTTTTTCTCTTTGATATCAAATAAGACATTGATTTGGGGGCTGAGGTCACCCTCAATGGCAAATGCCTATCCTGGAGGTCAAGATATGATGTCTTATGAGCAGAATCAACCTCTAATGGCACTTGATCCTGTTCAGGTCTTGTGAATGGCAATTCTATCTGGAATGCCTCCGCGAGGACCTGCCTAGAAAGTGTTTTATGGACAGATACTACAGGAACTATATCGTTTCTTCAGCTATGGAATCCACCACCTGGCACGATGTCTCCCACAAAAAGAATTTTAGGTAGGATTATTTATTCTGTGGCAACCTTAGTAAATTTCTGACAGTTCTGGGTCTGATGCTGCTCATGAAGGCAGCACAAACACTTTGAATGTCTGTCAGTGAGGGGGATCTTGTTAGTCCATGTCATACCCTTCTTAAGTGAACCCACCAAGGTCATAAAAAGAGAGAAGACCTGATATACAATGAATATTAGTTTTTTAAACTTTATTTTTAGGGTAGACTCAGGGTGACATCACAGAAGGGTACATGAAGACAACAGAAGGTTGCTTCGGGATCAAAGGGGAGCGAGCCTGCCACCTTTTCATGTATGCTTTACTCTGTGGCTTCGCAAAAGGCAGGGAAAGCGGCTGCCTTCCCTGTATAAAATGACCCTCAATTTTTTGTCTAATTAAGTGAAAAGTGTCATTTTATACATGAAAAATATGGTATTTACAACCATTCAATGAAAATGGATCAAGACAACGCTCCAAGATGTTTACTCAGTGGCAGCTAAAAGGGAACTGGAAGCTGACTGTTAAACATAGGACTGCAAAACTACAGGGAGATGGTCTACTGGTTTTCCCTAGGCTCTGGAATGTTCTGAGGTGTTCTGAACAGGTGCAGAAACAACCCACGTGTGTGATTCACAGAGACCACAAGGAAGAAGAGGGAGATCAGAAGCCTGATATGAAAACTAAAAATTCCAGTGATCTAAAAACTTGTGAAACTGGCTGGATAGTTCAGGAATGTGGCTGTGGAGCCAGAGGTTGGGAGTAAAATTCCCACTGTGCTTCCTAGGAAAAGAGCCAACCAGTGTAGCCACGGGCAGGCTGCACAATCCCAGGGTTCCCTACCAAAAGACGGGAATGGTAAACCTCTTCTGAGTACTCACTACTGTGAAAACCCTTGAAAACCCTGGAAAGAGTTGCTGTAAGTCAGATTCTACCTGATGGAATGCGATTTTTATTATTAGCAACTTGGGAAAGTAGCCTAAAACAATTACAAATAAAAGTAAAATAAACACAATGGTTATCAAGCCATTGAGCATTTGTAAGTAGTATGCAACCGTGTAGATATCTTTGCTTACTTCACATACCTGTTTCTTTCTGTGACATATTCAAGCTTCTTTGCCAGCATGCAACATTCATCTTTTAATTTTGATAGGAGTGCATTCTGGGAGCTCAGCAATGAATTCAGTTCATTTACTAGAAATCATAAATGTAAATATAAGATATATGGAATTTCAATGCATACAATGATTTAGATAGAATTCAATAAATGTTATAGGCAGAACTTTAAAAACGTACTCTAACAATGGAGCACACTTTCTTTTCAGTTTAATTGCCTTCTCCGCCTCTATAGGCCAAAAGTCAACTCTCTTTGCAAGTATTAAAACAGATACATGTTGCAACTTTTTCTGCACACTGTGTTCTTACTAAATCTATCTTTTGAAGAGAAAATGGAGCACCTCCACTCTTTTTTCTAATAATGATAATCATCAGTATCCCATACAAGAAATATGTACTACGAAATAGCATTTTCTTATGACATTACTGTACCACACAATTCAGCATCTAGTTTTTAATCCTTCCCTCCTCTTTTTACATCTGAAATCTACTTCAGGGTTTGGTTCTGGAAGATGAACCTAACAACTGTCCTGCCTTGAAAATATGTTCCTTAGACAGGGATTGTGGTGCTGGAAACTGTAATAGTTTATCCTGCTATGCTTCCTTTACACAGTGTTCCTCAACTGATGCTAGTAGGAATGCTGTATATGCTGCAACAGATCATGTGGAGTGGGATGAACATGTTGCAGGACAGAATAGCCAGTCAGTTTATATCACAGCATTATTGTAAAGGCAAACATTTTGGCAGTTCCTGTGCAGGGAATTGAATATCGCAAGCTGAATATGAACCAGCAGTGTAATGTAGCTACGAAAAAGGCAAATGTGATTTTAGGCTGCATTAACAGAAGTATTGTTTCCAAATCCCACAAGGAGCTAGTTCCCCTCTATTCTGCATTGGTTAGGCCTCACCTTGAGTATTGTGTCCAGTTCTGGATGCCATACTTCAAGAAGGATGCTGACAAATTGGAACAAGTTCAGAGGAAGCAAGAAGGACAATCGGGGGCTGGAAACCACACCCTCTGAATAAAGACGGAAATCTGGGCATGTTTAGCCTTAAGAAATGAAGATATAGGGCTGATATGATAACACTTTTCCAATATTTGAAAGGCTGTCATACAGAGGAGGGGCAGGATCTGTTCTCAATCAACCCAGAGTGCAGGACATGAAACAATGGGCTCAAGTTACAGGAAGCCAGATTTAGAGTGAATACCAGGAAAAACTTCCTAACTGTTAGAGCAGTAAGACAGTGGAACCAATTACCTTGAGGTAAACACCAGAGGAATTCAAGAGGAATTTAAACAACCACCTTGCAAATATCCTTTGGTTTGTACTCCTGCATCAAGCTGGGGGTTGGACTTGATGGTCTTATAGGCTCCTTCCAACTTCATTATTCTATGATTCTAAACAGAAATGGGATTCCCCTTCTTTGAAAGACTGTGACATAAAAAAGGCATTCCAATCTTCTGAAGCAGGCTGTCCTGGATACATAGAAAGCCAGCGCCCACCTGACATCAAGGGTATGCAAAGTCCTTTCTAGGGCTGTAGGTGAATTTGGATAAAATGTTGGTAGGACAATATCCTGTGAAAAGTGGAATTGTGAGACTACTTTTGGGAAGAAAGTAAGATCTGGCCTCAAACTATTTTATCCTGATGAAAAGTAAAATACAGTTGGTGAAAGCACAGAGTTTGCTTGTCCTCTGAACCAATGTAACAGTTACCAGGAGGGCAGTCTTCATTGAGGTAGATGGAAGCCCACTAATGCAAGCCATTCAAATGGCTCAGCTTAAAAAGCACTAGGGAGAGACTCCAAGATGGTGGATAGGTTGAACCAGCAGAAAACTATTATTCAATATTATTTAAGGAAGCTTACACATGGCAAATTTTAGGCTTCAGGCATTTTCCCACTTGGCTCCAAAGCTGTGGAATTGTCTCCTCCAGCACATTTGTATGGAACCAGAGCTGAATAAATTTAGATGAGGTTGGAAAATCTATTTATTCAATTGGAGTCATGGGTGCTGGGTGTAGGGAGAGGTTAGAAACAAGTGTATTTGATTTGATTTTTTGGCTGTTTTTTTTAGCAGTTGGTTAATTCTTCTTGATCACTGCCTAATAACAATGATGATGATAACAACCCCTCCATGGACACAGGCCTTGTTGAGCCAGAGGGACTTGTGTGCTTCAGTGAGGTTGAGAGCTATGCTGGAGGTAGTGTCACTACCTGGAGGGTCTTCCAAGCCAGAAGGTCCCAGCTGAGAAGCCAGACCAACGGTGTCCACCAACCACTGATTATGATGAGAGTAAATAAACAGAAATCCATACTGGACCAGTCACTGCCTGAGTCAAAAAAGACCGTGTCAGATGCTATTGCTTCTGGACATCTGGTGACAAATGCGTTACAGGGCTCAGCAGATCCTGTTCAAGAATAATGATGGGTGGCTGCAAAGCTACTGGAAAAATGTAAATGCAAAACTTGGACTCTCACCAAAAATTTTGAAATTATGAAATGCTATTTGAGGCAAACCTAACAGCCCGTGGTTTTCAAAAAGGAATGATGAAAATTTGGAAAAGGAAACACCCAAAAAGTGACATAACTGAACAATGTTTAATGAATCAGAGAAGGTTTGTCACCTGGAGTAAAGTGTTTTCAGAACTAGAATTGCAAGAACTAGAAAAGGTGACAAAAGAAAATTCAACACAGAACAATAACCATAGTACAGAAGACAAATTGAGGGTAGAGGAAGACACAATAGTGAAAGAGAATGTACCAAGAGAAGAACAACTTATGGAACAAGTCAGAAATTATGAGTTGACAGAATGGCAGATATCACTGATGGAAAAAACGGTAACCCATATTAGCCAGAAAGCATAAAGAAAAAGGCTCCCCATTTTGCACCAATTACAAAGAAAACCAGAAAAAGATCTATTGACAGATGCAAATGTAGTAATCAGAACAACCTCAACCAACATGCTAAAGGGAATAAACACAGCTATCATAATAATCATGGAACTCGGTTACAAGCTGCAAAAAAACAGAAAACTCCTGGCAATTCAAAATGGAAAATTTGGCTGGAAAAAAAATAGACAAATTGCATACAGACATTAGCAAAGATTCAAAACTTAAGGATGAAAAAGTAAAAAACAGACTATGTAAAATATTTGACCTAGAAAGGAAAACAACTGATGGTATAATGGAAAAATTAAAACAATGGGTAACAGCTACAGCAAAATAAATAAATAAATAAATAAATAAATAAATAAATAAATAAATAAATAAATAAATAAATAAATAAATATTGAAAGATATAATGGACACTTGAAATAACACAGAGAAAACATACAATTTATGTCAACGATTATCCTATAAACAACTAGAAGAAAAGGCAGAACAAAAGAAATTAGGCCCAGGTAAAGATTATACTCTAAAATTTTGGAAAGAAATTTGGGAAAGCCCAATTGGACATAATAAAAACACCTCATGGATTAAAGATATTTATAAAGAAATTCAAGGTAACATATGGATGCTATTGTAATAACAACTAAAATTATAAAGAGGCAAGAAAAGGTTGTGAAAAATTCAAGTGTACTTGGCGCAGATGAGCCATGATTCTGATTAAAGTATTTAACAAGTCATCAATGTATAGTAGTACAACTTAATTACTTACTTCAAAATTCTACAACTGGATGACAACAGGCTGCATACAGTATTTATGAAAATAAAAGATCATCAAAAGGGCAATGATGAACCCAGTAATTATTGAAAAATTACATGCCTTCCAACAATGTTCAAGCTCATCACTGGAGCACTTGCAAGATCAATATATAGTTATTCAACTGAAAATTCCCTATACCCAAATGAACAGAAAGGGAACTTTAAGAAGTCAAGAGGCATGAAAGAGCTTATTGGTAAAATGATACTAAAGAATGCAGAAAGATGAAAAACCAATCTTAACTGCCCTGGATAGACTATAAAAATTGTGCTGGAATAACACCGGCCTAAAATTTTGTGGGATTAGTAAAAATATTCAGAAGTTCCTCAAGAAAAACAAGAAAAAATGGGAAACCATCTGAATAGCCTATGGTGAAGATATTGAGGAAGTTAGCATCAAAAGAAGAATATTTCAAGGGGATTCTTTGTCACCACTGCTGTTCTCATTAATCCCCATGTAAATAATTTTAAATAAAACTGGATTGGGCTACTCTATTTACATCTTGCACAAAAAAGTTAAAGAACTGACATCAAAATGATGTGGAAAACCTTAAAATCAAAATTGAATGGTGGAAATACAATCAAAGCCATAAACACAAGGGAAGTTATCATAGATATCCAGCTACTGTAAAGACTGGACCCAAAACAAATTAGAAGACCTGGATGGAAAACACAGAAACTAATGAACATATATCACACACTACATTCAAAAAATGATGTGGATAGATTATATTTACCATGAAAAATTGGAAGTCGTGGATTACTGCAAATTTACAGAGGAGGAAAAGGGAAGCCTAAATGATTATACAAGTACAAGTAGAGAAAACTACTTAAGGTGGTGAAAACAGAATATTTTGAAAGCAACAGAAACAAAGGCTCAATATAAGAAACAACAATCTGAAAATAAAGTAAACAGCTGGAAAAACAAACTGCTACATGGACAACACCTCAGAAATATTGAAGGAAGGTATGATCATAATGCAACCTGGGCATGAATAAAACTGGGGACCATTAGGAAAGAAACTAAAGGTTTGATTTTTTCTGCACAAGAACAAGCACTCCAAACCAACGTGATGAAAGCTAAAATTCAAGGAATGAGTGTTAACAGCAAATGTCAACTCTGCCAAGAAAAAGAGGAAACGGTGGCACACCTCAATTCCGAATGGCCAAAGATGCACAAACAGATTACAAAATTAGATATGATAGAGTGGCAAAATTAGTGCACTGGTCATTATGCCAAAAATATAACCTGCCAGCCTCCAAAACCCATGGGAACATCAGCAGGAGGAAGCGTCCGAAAATGACGAAAAGATCTTGTGGGATTTCTGGATCCAAACTGATAAGACACCTTGAATGTTACACAATAGAAATA